TTCCCTTTTGGAAGATGGTCACTATGTTTTCCCTCTTCCCGGATTCTGGAATGTCTCCTGTCTCCCATGATTTTCCTAAAGATAATAGCTAGAGGCTCAGATACCTCCTCTATTAGCTCCTTGAGTATTCTAGGATGCATTTCATCAGGCCCTGGTGACTTGCAGGCATCTAACTTTTCTAAGTGATTTTTAACTTGTTCTTTTTTTATTTTATCTGCTAAACCTACCCCCTTCCCATTAGCATTCCCCATGTTAGGCATTCCTTCAGATTTCTTGGTGAAGACTGAAACAAAGAAGTAATTAAGCATTTCTGCCATTTCCAAGTTTCCTGTTACTGTTTCTCCCTCCTCACTGAGCAGTGGGCTTACCCTGTCTTTGGTCTTCCTCTTGCTTCTAATGTACTGATAAAAAGTCTTCTTGTTTCCCTTTATTCCTGTAGCTAGTTGGAGCTCATTTTGAGTCTTTGCCTTTCTAATCTCTTCTAATCCTGCATTCCTGTGTTGTTTGCCTATATTCATCCTTTGTAATTTGTCCTAGTTTCCATTTTTGATATGACTCCTTTTTATTTTTTAGATCATGCAAGATCTCGTGGTTAAGCCAAGCTGGTCTTTTGCCACATTTTCTATCTTTCCTACCCAGTGGAGTAGCTAGCTTTTGGGCCCTTAACAGTGTCCCTTTGAAAAACTGCCAACTCTCCTCAGTTGTTTTTCCCCTCAGTCTTGATTCCCATGGGACCTTACCTATCAGCTCTCTGAGCTTACCAAAATCCGCCTTCCTGAAATCCATTGTCTCTATTTTGCTGTTCTCCCTTCTACTCTTCCTTAGAATTGCAAACTCTATGATTTCATGATCACTTTCACCCAGGCTGCCTTCCACTTTCAAATTCTCAACGAGTTCCTCCCTATTTCTTAAAATCAAGTCTAGAACAGCTTCCCCCTAGTAGCTTTTTCAACCTTCTGAAATAAAAAGTTGTCTGCAATGCAGTCCAAGAACTTATTGGATAGACTGTGCCTCACTGTGTTATTTTCCCAACATTTATCTGGATAGTTGAAGTCTCCCATCACCACCAAATTTTATCATGTTCTTTCTTCCCTCCTGGCTTTGCCTCCCACCCCGCTTCAGGATCAGGTGAGCATTACCTCATCGTAGTCTCTGACTGACCAAGGGAAGGGGGGTGACTCACTCAAGAGTCCAACAGATACTTTGTTGCTGCCTAGGCCGGTGTCCTTTGTTCCTGTGAGGCTGGGCTGGGTTTGTCCCATACATGCCCTGATGAGGTGTGAACTGCCCCTCTGTGCTCTTGGAGAGTTTTGCCTGGGCTTGTTTTAAGCCATGAGGACACATTTTTAGCCTCATGACTATATACATGAAATTACAACCTATAACATCCCTATAACAACAATGCTCAATGCATCAAGAACCTTCTGAAGACACCTGACATGACAAACTTTGCATTGGTTACCACACAATCATAAGGATGAGCATGGGGGTGCAGGGTGTTCCCCCAAGATACAGAATGTCACACCTGTGAGATACAGAGTGTGGGTGTCTTCATGCAAACCCAGCCTCTGAATCTGGGCCTGGGAGCCTCCTTTTGTGAAAATGTGGTCCTAGAGAGAGCTTGACATGCCTTTATTTTATTTTAACTTTTGTGCTGCGCCTGGTCACTGAGTGCCAATTTTCACAGCTGCAGACTGCACTTCAGGGATAGATTTCTTCAAGGCACTGACTTTCCTACATGTCTTTTTTTAGAAACTGCAGTGCAAAAATGTGTAGTGCTAGAATGTCCAGGCTGCTCATTAAACAACTGGTAATTATTCCAAATTTCAGAGGGTAGATAGTTGCTACTTGAGTTCTGTGCCTTCTCTGCCGCATTAGATTCTGGAAGGTGTCTGAACTGTGTAAGCTTGCTTCACACTGTTCCAGAGCTGGGATTCAAACCTGGTGCACTAACCACTTGGCTCTGGTTAGCTGCTGTCTCCTCCTCCAGTCCTCTGTGACCCTAGCCTGAATTTTATTATTATTTTATTTTGGCTGAAACTACTCAGTGAATTCAATATCCGTTTGTGAATAGTCTACCTTGACTCAAAATTGCATTTTTTTGCAAATAAACTATTCAGTGGAAAATTTCCCCCAGCTCTACTTGTGATGTCATTTCACTAGTTCTCCCATCACCATAATCTTTCAGCCCAGACAGGACCTGAATTTCAAATGCAATAAAAGACTTTTGTGTCCTCTTCATCCTCATTATAAAAGCAGGGAAGGGCACAAGCCCAATTTTTCCCTTTGAAGTTCACCTTCAATATTCATCGTTCATGGGACAGACTGAAACTAAAGATTTCTCGTTCACACATAGATAATTAATGTGTCTGTTTATAGCTGGAGAGCATCTTTTTCACAAATCCATTTAGATGGAGCACTGCAGGCTTCAAAATTAATCCCATCTGCTTTTATCATCCCGCAGCTGTTCCCTTTAGCAGGATCCACTACCTTGAACCTGGAAAACACAACAAACAATCACTGTAGAATTTTTGAACAAGATTTTTAGCAGCTTTGTCTCATTCTGACACCTCTCGAATTTCTTCCTTAACCACTGAATTGTTCCTACAGAGCCTTAGCTGATAAAACACTTCCTAGCCCATGATCCTGTCATAGCAGCTGGTTGGTCTTGGTCTATTTCTGGAAAACACTTGTCCATATTACAAAACCCAGCCCTCAGGATTAGCCCAACTGCTATGGAAGCCATCGAATGAGGCTCAGGACTCCTCTCTCTGTGCAGAGTGTTGTGCCCAGCACTTAACATCCCTTGCGCCCACATGTAGCCTCTGCTTACACCGATGCTGGAAGCAGCAGCCCTGTGCCCCCTGCTGCACATCTTACATGCACTCAGAGGATAAAACCACTCACAGTGTTTGATTGAACAGGGAGCCGTCCACCCAAGTCCAATTCCTTGCAGGGGGTGTAACAGTGAGTCCAAGCCAGATCTGGTTTGCATCTTTGGAAGTATTTTGAATGAAAGTCTGTAAATGACATGTAAGAATGATGTGATGGGGAAGGAGGGGCTGGGGGTTAAGGTGCTAGCTAGAGACTCTGGGAACTCGGTTCAATTCCCCAGACTCCCTCTGGGACCATGCGCCAGTTGTTTAGTTTCTGTCCTGACTGGGGCAGAATTAAGGCCTTGGTACAGTCCTTGTGGTATGTGAGGGTCATGCTATCAATGAGGTGTCACCACTGGGAGGCAGGGCACAGGTTATGGACTGTTGCTCGCCTGAACTTTTCATTTCCTTGCTTTTTAGCATGTGTGGGTATGTATAGAGCAACCCTGACAGATGCACAATGGTCCCTTCTGACCTTAAAGTCTATGAGTCTATGCACATATCTCCAGGACAAGGCGCTGGTGAGACCTCATTTGGAGTACTGTGTGCAGTTCTGGTCTCCCATGTTTAAAAAAGATGAACTCAAACTGGAACGGGTGCAGAGAAGGGCCACTAGGATGATCAGAGGAATGGAAAACCTGTCGTATGAAAGGAGACTAGAGGAGCTTGGGTTGTTTAGTCTGACAAAGCGAAGGCTGAGCGGGGATATGATTGCTATCTTTAAATATATTAGAGGGATTAGTCCAAGGGAGGGACACGAATCTTTCCAGCTTAGTTCTAACGTGGATCCGTGAACTAATGCTTATC